TCCCTCGCGCGCTTTCTCCGTGCAAAGTGCAAGACAGAGGTGCAGCCGGGCTCGAGGAAAGGGAGGGGGGGTGGGGAGTTGAGTTCTTTCTTGCCTTTTTTTAAAAAAAAAGCAAAATAGCGAAGTCCTGGGGAAAGGCGAGGCAGAGAGCAAAAGGGGGGGAGGCCGAGCCGACGAGCAGCCTGAGCTACAGCTCGAAGATGAAAAAAGATTTTAAAGCCTCTGATCCAGCAAGAAGAGTTTAAAGCAATTGCTGAGTTTTATAGTACTTGTGACGTCAGGCCCAGATGGGAAATTGACTGGTACTCTGGGCCAATGAGAGGCGGCGAGAGCGGCCGCGATTAGCATAATAGTATAGAAACAAGGAAACTTTTCGGAGCTGTCAATCAGGGCCCAATCAGCTGACTGTCAGCTGGGACGGGCGAGCTTAACCCTTCCCGCGCCGCCACCTCCCCCGGAGGGAGCCAAGCCGAGCGCAAAGTTTGGTGAAAGAGAGCGAAGAGTTTTCCAGAGGGGCTGCGGGAACCCGGGAGGATAGGGAGGTCGGTTTGATTTACTTTGGAGCTCGAAGAGGCCTGCTTTCCGGAGCCCCAGCTGACCAGACACTCACTCGGCGGGCATTGGCCTGACTGCCCTCCCCTGCCAGCTCCCCGTCCCCAGGATTGTGAATTAGCCTGGCAGCCTTCCCTCCTCGCTCCACCTTCGGCACCCAGGTGTCTGCCCCGGGGATCTTCCTTCCCCCAGCCTGACTGTGCCCAGAGCTTAAACTTGGCCCCAACTCTTTGTCCCTCTCCCGTTCCCCGCGCGCGAGGGCAGAGGGGTCCCGACTGCACGCCTGACGCTGCTCCGCCGCGCTCCTGGCGGGTGTTTCGGGGTCCGCGAAGAGAGGATGCCCATTTTATCACCCTCTGTTAAAGGAGGCAGAATAACTTGTTCAGGGGCCATTATGCGCAGGGACCGGCTGCTCGCTGGCGTCGTGTGCCCTTGGGGGGAGCGAACGCCTACGCGAGTTAACTCCGGGAAAGCTCAGAGTCTGGTCAGCCCGGCTCAGCCTTCAGGCTTCCGACTATGGCTGGAGTTTGACCTTTGAGATTCGTTCTCTCTCTCCCTTTCTCTCTTCCTCTCTCTCTTCCTCTCTCTCTTCCTCTCTCTCTCTCTCTCTCTCTCTCTCTCTCTCTCTCTCTCTCTCTCTCAGGCTTACTCACCCCTATGAAATCTGACCCCTGTTTATCAGGGTCCCGCGCGCCCTTTGCACTTTTATGTTTCAGTAATTATTCCATACTCTATAAACCGAGGTTTCTCGGACAAGCCCGGAAAGCCAGAGTGGGGGTGGGGTGGGGAGCAGCTTCTCCCCCTCCCCATTACAGATGCTAATAATTGTTCCATTTTCTAGATCGATTCTTTTAAAGCTCATGCAAGAAGGAAAAAGAAAAAGGAAAGAAAAGAAAAAGGAAACAACCAACAACTCTGTTTCTAAGATTTTAAAGCGATAGGCAAGTCGGAGAAGCCGAGATTTAATATTTGGGGGAAAGCAAGAGTGCGCGAGCGAACCCAGCGTTTGGAAGACCAGCCCGCCTGCTTGGATGTTGGGACTGTTGATTCTTCCAATTAATGAAATGCATTTGGTGTTAATGCTATTTTTTTTTTTTACTTTGTGGGAGGGGGAAACACTAGGAGGGTGCATTAAGAAAAAAAAAATTCTGAAAAGCCTGCAAAAGGATCGAAGAGTGAAAACTATTGTTGGATCGAGTTGGTTTTTACCTCAACAGCGCCACCTTTCGGCAAAGGTCAGTTGAAATTGATCCGTGTCCAGTTTTGTTGAAGTGAAAAGAGGCTGGTTTCCCAAGGTGGGAGGAGGAAAGAGGCGCAGGAAGTTTGACTGCAGTGGCAGAACCCAACCTTGTAGGTAAGGGGCTGAGGACAGTACAGGCAGGTGAGGGAGTCATTTTTCCTCCACAGTCCCCTGGATTGTCGACCAAGGGGACAGGGGGCACAGAAGCCTTTTGGAGTGTGATTCTGTCTCAGAGACTTGAGCAAGTGGATCCCATGTAACAGGGCCCCAAACCCTTTAAAAGTGCCAGGATGGATTTCCAGCGGGCTTTATGGCAATATCAATAGAATTAAAGTTACTTGTAATTCAGTGATAAATGAGATGTCTCTAGTAAGTAAGATTAAGTGCAGAGCTATAAAGTTGTTTATCTGAAAAGTAATTCTCAGAAAACCTGACTTCTGACACTTAGTCATATATTAAGCCTCACGTCTTGAACATTGCACTTCAGAAGGCTGTCACCCACCCCACAGCATACTTTACTATTTATAACGAGACCTTAGGTGTCACTCACTGGCTTCAGACTCTAGATTAGACTTGTGTTAATTTCTCTGATGCTGGCAGCCCTGGTTTCAGCAGACCCCAGGGTTCCTAATGAGAGAATCCCCCAATACAGGTTTGTAGGCGCATCAGAATCCTAAAAGGCCAGTGCTGTTGGTATTTTCCAGAAAAGCACCTTTTCTTTTCATCATTACTTCAGCGAAGTTGTTTATAAGGGTAGTTTTGGTTTTATGGGAATACTTTGTCTATTACCAGTTTGGAGAAGAAAGAGTGACGGTTATGTCAATATTTATGCAACTAACAGAATTCCTTTGCTTTCCACCTCTTCAACAGTATTTTACCTAGTAATGAAGTTAAGGGATTATAGCTTGTTTATTCAGAGGAAAATCTTAAGCTACATAAACATACGATGTCATTTAGCATTGTTCATAGCAATAGTTTTCTAGGCTTTTAAAAAATCATTAGCCACAAATGTCTGAAGTTTATAATTATTCACGTGAAACATGAATTTAAATGTAGTTAGGAAGAATTGATTCTTTTTTTGTTTATAATATATTTTTTTTATCCTTTGGCCTCACATTTTTGTTAAAAGCTGTAAGAAATGATCCTTGTCTCTCCTGAAAGTATTTTTGGCCAGGAGCACTGAAACTTCTGCATTCATAAACAACATTTATAAACAAAGTTCGCTCATGACGAAGACCATGTGATATAGATTCATGGCCATGCACCTAATTGTTGCAATTATATATCATTTCTAGAAATTAAATGCTCATGTTTGGGCAGCTAAATGTATTATTATCTGCACTTTTTTTATGGTTTATTTCTGTACACTGCTGTTAAGCCATGGTATTTTTCTTTCTCGTATTGCAGAGTCTTTTACAGTCTCTTATTTTCTCTCGAAAAAAAAAGAGAGGACCAGAATTATTTTTTAGATGTGTAGCAGTAGTGCTCTCAGCCTTATAACTGAATTCTCATTTTTGTCCTTTTTACTTTATTATTTAGTGATTCCCAGGGGTGTCCAAACATTTACAGTTCTCCGTTAGTGGCATTTCTTTTCCAACAATTGAGCTCTCTTATTTTAATTAGTACTATTCAGGTTTTTGATTCTGTACAATTACAGCAGGCCACATTTCCTTAGACTTCTTTGCTCACATTGTTTCACTTCTCTCCAAGCCCATGTAATCCAAATATAATACGCACCCTGTTTCTGTACTGCTTAATATCCCCTTGCTATATATACGCTAGTAATCTCTGTAGAACAATATAGAGTAATTTCGAAACCATGCGTTTGTCATTATTGACCAATTCAAACCAGTAGCATTAAAGTTTCTGAAAGCCGTGAATATTTATAGAAGAATTTTAAGAGGGAGGAGGGCATGAGTCGAATCATGTAGAAGATTGCGAAATTGTAACATCCAAAACACAATCGTAGATTCGTGTCAATACATACACAACAACTTTGGACAAAAAGAAGAAAAATC